TTTTTGGTGGGAAGTGAAATTAATTTGGAAAATGAATCAAACTTTAGAGGCATTATAGATCCTTCTACTGATGCAAATGTGGATTCAAGTGATCAAAGTGGGATTGCAACTGCTGCAGTGCTGAAATTTGAACTTTCTGGGCAAAATTCACTTTGGTTAATCGATTAACCACTTTTGCCTTGCAAATGGTTAATCGATTAACACATTCAAAATTTGAACTTTGGTGCCTTTTGGTGGGAAAGCTTGGAAAACTAATTGTTGCCACTTGTTCTGAGCATGGTTTTGCCTCTGAAGCTTATTATTTGATATTGCACCTGAATAATGTCTGAAATAAGTTGTGAATTCCCTCTTTAACTCAAAATACCCTGCTGGAAAAAAGAATGGTCTGGTACCAAATTACCGAGCAAAATAAATGTTGGAGCCTCTGATGCTTGCTGCTTAGAAACTTGAAATAAAAAGAAGTCCCAAGCCATAAAAATAATGTGATCCCATGTCTCAAGCATTCAATGCAATGAATGGTTGATGATGCAAATGAAATGAAGCATAAACCAATTAGGGTTATAAATGAGAGGGTAAATTTTGGGGTGCAACAATAACCATCTTGCACAATGGATGTATTACCATTATCCTTTCCACCATGATTGTTCAGTCGATCAGGGCATACTTTTCTTGTATGACCCTCTTACTTACAATGATAACACTTAATAGTATGAGCATTACCACCATAAGAGTTTTTTAGAACGTTACCTTCTTCTTCTCAAACCTACCATCTTTCTTCAAGAATTTCTCCTTAATGGACAAACCTTCACCAACAGAAGATGGTTTTCGCTCCTTTCGTTTGTTCAAATTCTTAGAGTACAAGGAAGATTGAACATCTTCAAAGGTCAGTAAATCTCTTCCATACAAGAGAGTTTCTTTGAAATTAGCATGAGACTTAGGTAAAGAATACAACAACAACAATGCTTGATCTTCATCATCAATTTTGACCTCAATATTCTCAAGATCATGAATCAACTTGTTGAACATATCCAGCTTCCCAGCTAAGGCTTTGTCTTCACTCATCTTCAATGAATACAAAGCTTGCTTCAGGTAGAGACGATTAACCAACAATTTCTTCATGTAAAAACGTTCAAGTTTCATCCACACACTATCCGCAATTTTCTCCTTTGAAACCAATCGGAGAATCTTATTACCAAGGCTTAATACAATGTCACTATGGGCTTTTTCGATCATCGTTGTCTTCTCCTTCTCCATTATGGCAACATCCATCTTCTCTGATCCTTACAACGCTTCTAGAAAACCTTGTTGAACCAGTAGGGCTTGTATCTTCAAGTGCCACAAACCGAAATCATTCACACCAGTGAATTTCTCAATCTTATACTTTGTTGACGGCATCTTATTCTCAACATTCATCGTACCAGTTTATTGTGAAACAATTTCGTCAATAACAGAAAAAATTTATGAGATAAAGATTGAGTTTCTTGAACAAACACAAGAAATCCTATTAGGTTTTATGAAAGAGAGAGAGGAAGGAAGAAAAAGAAGGATTGGTTAAAATGTTTTACTATTCACTTTCTCAATAAGGGCTCAAAGATTACACGTAAATAACAATAATTAACCTCTCTCAACAACATGAGAGAACTAGTTTATTTATATACTACTAAGTTAAATCAGGCTATAAGCTAACTTAACAATTGGGCTTTCAAGAAAGACCCAATTCGACATGTTAACTTAAACAAAAGCTAACATATTTCGACAGCATGCTTGAACAGACTTCGACTACAACATGTACAACTCCTGTCGAACCATGAAGTTACTCATGTCGACGCTAGAGTTCGACCCAAATACCACATAAACCTATTAGAAATAAACGTGTTTACAAGGTTAAGCATAAGGTTGATGGCACTATAGCGACATCAGGCTAGATTATAGTCAAAGGATACAATCAAGTTGAAGGATTGGATTTCTTTGACACACTGCCACTTATGGAAAAACTTACAACTATCAAAATCCTTCTTGTAACTGGTGCAATTCACATATGTTTGTTCACCAACTGAAACTCAAAAATACCTTCTTGCATGGAGAGTTGCAAGAAAATGTGTATATGATCATCATTGAAGGTGTTCCTTGTGATATTCCTAACCAAGTCTGCAAACTCTTGAAAAATCTATATGAATTAAAGCAAGCTAGCTAAAAAATGGTATGAGAACTTGACTTCAATACTTATCCAACAAGTTACACTCAATCCACATCAAATTATTCTTCTTTAACTCTCAAAACCCCTTACACATTTACAATTATTCTAGTATATGTTTATGACATTATACTAGCTAGAAAATTATAAGAGTTTAATAGAATTAAAGGCATAATTGACAAAAATTTCAGCATCAAAGATTTAGGATTGCTCAAGTACTTCTTAGGTTTGTAAGTGACACATTCAAAGGAAGAAACTTCTCTATCCCAAAAAAATATTGCTTGGATGTTTTACATGAATATGGTCTTCTTGGCTCCAAACAAGTTGCAACATCTCTTGATCCTTCTATCAAACTTCACGCTAATGGTGGAAAAACCTTTGATGACATTAGATCTTATAGAAGATTGATTGGTAGATTGCGATATTTAAACACAATTATGCCATATATTACTTTTGCTACACAATAACTAAGTTAATTTCTCCATGATCCTACCGTGATTCATTAGATATCTAAAGTACAACCCTGGTAGAGATCTCATGTTCCATAAGAATTCAAAATATCAAATTCTTGGCTATTCAGATGCAGATTAGGCCGATTGTATTGAATTTGGAAAATCAATTTTTGGCTATTACTTCTTTTTAGGTTCTTCCTTTATTTCTTAGCGTGCAAAGAAACAACAAACTATTTCTCGATATTCATCTGAAACTGAGTACAAAGCTTTGTCATCAGCCACCTACGAATGACTTTGGTCGATGTTTCTAATGAAGGATCTTTGCATCACTTGTTCCAAACCTCTTTCCTTCTATTGTAACTATTGATAAAATCTCAAAGTTCCGCATTGGTTATGCATAGATTTTCCAAAGAGTTTATATATAGTGTCACCCCTTACCTTATAAGTCGATTTTGTATGGATAAATTAAGCTCAACTCCAATTCTAATGGTGATAGCCAATGTTCAATGAACGTCACTTCCAATCCAATTTTTCATTAGAGGACATAATATCTAAAAATAATCTGCCATCTTTCACAAGAAAAGGTTCAACAAAACTTGTTACCTCTACTTTCCATCTCTTCACAAGAGCAATTCGTAAATTTCTTAACAAAGGCTCTACTTATTCTCCACAACTCGCAAACATTTACTATGCTCAACTTGAAGATGGCTATTAAGATCTAAAATCTAATTAGTCCTTAATTAAATTTAATTAATTGATGGTTAGATGAATAACTAAACTAAACTAGTAGTTACTAGTTAGTTATACCTACTAGTTCATTAGTAATATAAAAACAAGGACACCATAAACAATTAATACAATATGATTGCATAAAATTCTTATAACCAATATGTTATAGAAAAATTCCAATAATTAATCAATATGGCATATAGGAATAACAATTTGTGAAAATGTCATTTTCCTTAACCAATATATTTACATACCATGTCGGTTCTAGTTTCTATTGCCAAGATCACTTTCCACATTCTCTCTCTTCATTCTTTTTAGCCTTTGTTTTTTGGTTTGAATAATAGAGAATTTGATTCCACCCGTGAATGCCTTAATTCCTATGTCGGGTACCAATATAAAGCTCCCTTCAATACATTCAGGGCCACATTGAGCTAAACAACAACATAGAGTCACGATATCTTTTTCTTTTACATCAAAACCACATTCCCCCAATCCTACACTTCTCTATGTATTGTCCTATCAAACCTTTCAAAAAGGGTTTATACTAATACAAAACGTTCACATTTCAATCTCAATTATATTAATTCAATATATAAATACTTAAATTAAGTTGAAAATCACAATCTTTAATCCTCATATGTCATAAACTAGAAAGATTGTTGTGATTCATTATGTAAGTTCAACTGTTTTTTATGTTTTTTCCTATAGCATAGATAGATTTCTTACGCATAAGATTCCTATGATGGGTAGCTTTCTTCTTCTTTTTTTTACTATCTGTTAGTACTTTGTTCTTTACAGTTCTGATTCTAACTTATATATAGCCATAAATTCACATGCAACATCTACTTGTATATTGATTAAAATTTATTTTCTAGAGATGTGTGTGTTTTTTTTTTTGCCTCTTCCAAGGGAAAAACTCTTAAAGAAAGCTGTCTTGTGACTATATGACAAAATATGATGAGAGAATAACTCATTTTCAATTTTCCAAAATTATTTTAAAATATTGATGTTACTAAATTAACATCGAGAAATGTTGACTTTATCATAAAAAGTTGACTCACATATCTAAAAATTGTGAATTCAACTCTCAACATTGATGTAAAAATATTTTTAGCGGATAGTATTTTTTAAGTTTTGAGATCTGTCATGACTCTGATGAGTCTTGTTGAGTTCGATTCTAGTAAATCTCGAATACATGAATAATATAGTTTAAAATGAATGTAGAAAGCTAGGCATAAAAATGAGGTTGGAGAAAACACACACAATGCCAGTGTTACTTTAGAAATTTGACCTCAAAAAGTGTCTCTAAACACATCCAACTTTTCTTTGAAACGCCTAGACTTTTGATCAATCAGAAACCAACACGTGTAAAACTTATGCTTGAGAACTTTTTCCTTTGCCATCATTCAATTATTATTTTTTGGTATAAATATTAACATTTTGCTTCAGAATACTCTTACTAGACCAATTTGCTTTGAACATTCTGAAAATCAGTTCAAAATTCAATTAATCTCCTTCATTTATCTTTGCAATATTAAAATTCTGAATTTGACCATTTTGAATTTTATTTTCACAGATATATATATACATCATCTCTATGGTTTAACATTGGTACAAAATTCATCATGAGTCATGTTCTTTGGTTTTTTATCCTATGGATAACAATGATTCTTTTCATCCATAATGTGGAAGGAAGATACCATCATCACAAGAAACCAAAGAAAATTTCCCCTGCTCCAAGTGACCCTTCACCTCCTTCTCTCAATCCTCCTCCTCCCAGTGTTCCTTCTGATCCATATCCGTATCCAAATGACCCTGGAGAATCTCCTTCAGACTGCATTTTCGATGTACGGTCGTTCGGAGCGGTCGGAGACGGTGAAGCTGATGACACAGCTGCATTTAGAGCAGCATGGAAAGCAGCTTGTGCAGTTGAATCAGGAGTTCTTTTCGCTCCCGAAAACTATTGCTTCAAAATCACTTCTACTATCTTTTCAGGTCCATGCAAACCAGGACTAGTTTTCCAAGTAAGAATGCTTTTTAAATTTCCATAGTCCTATAAATTGTTGTTACTGTCGCAATCTTTCACGTACGCCGCGGCCGCAATTGCAGTTACAGACCAATATAAAGAACTCTGGTTTCGTAAATGCAATTTCGGCCGTATAATATAAACTTACTACAATTTTTTTATATATAATTAACCAACAAGATTCAAATGTATACAGATTGATGGAACTTTGATGGCACCAGATGGACCCGAATGTTGGCCTGAGGCAGATAGTAAGAATCAATGGCTTGTATTTTATAGACTTGATCAAATGACTCTAAACGGGACAGGAATTATCGAAGGCAACGGCGAAAAATGGTGGAATCTTCCTTGCAAACCTCACAGGGTAACACTAACTAACATTAACGAAATTATTTTTGCATTATCTATATTTTTTTCCAATAGCAGCACAGTTTGTTACCCATTTGCCTGTTAGTTCTCTATAATTTTGATTATATATATACAAAATTTATATCTTTTGAAGTGACACTAATAGTCATTATACAACAGTTTCTGAGATTATTCGAACTCGAGCTCCTTGAAGTTACATTTTATTAACTAAATTCTAGTAACAATTTTTTGACATTTCAGGCTCCTAATGGACAAAGTATTTCAGGACCATGTGATAGCCCAACAGTGAGTAAACTTTTCAGAATTTACATAACAGTCCTCAATAATTAATAACATTAAAAGTTTCATTGATTATTTCTCTTTTTTTGTATAGATGATAAGGTTCTTCATGAGCTCAAATTTGGTGTTAAGTGGGTTGAAAATACAAAACAGTCCTCAATTCCATGTGAAATTTGATGGTTGTGAAGGAGTACTAATTGATAAATTGTCCATTTCTGCACCAAAACTTAGTCCCAATACTGATGGAATTCACTTAGGAAACACAAGGGAAGTTGGGATCTATAATTCCATGATAAGCAATGGTAAGAAAAATAAAGAACATTAATTAATTTTCTCAATATAGAAATTTTATTATAAGATTTTTATTTATTTACTAATCTAGAAAATGTTACATTATTTTTTATTAGGTGATGATTGCATTTCAATTGGTCCTGGTTGTTCAAATGTGAATGTAGATGGTGTTACTTGTGCTCCTACCCACGGAATTAGGTATGTCACGTAGTTTCTGTTATTTTAGTTAAAATGGTTTTTAACTAACAATTAATTATGGTTAATAAAAAAACAAAATTAGTTGATGGTTTTTTTTATATATTATGTACCTAATTTGTGTGGTCCAAGAACCATTTCAAAAGGCAAAAATGAATGAAAAGTGACTTTAACTTATAGCGTGAGTGTAATAACTCTTGGTTTCTTAATAGATAACATTTTATATTCAAGAAAAATAAATAAATAATGGAAATTTTTTGTTTGAAATATAAACCTTTCTAAGTTCAAATGATCACAGGATTTAGTTCTTCTTTTGGAGATTTATGTGACTATATTACTTTTATGGTTAGAAGATTCAAACTTTCAATTGTAAATATGACATAGCTCTAGTAGTCCTCACAGCCATCTCAAGTTTTTGAGAATTCTATATAAGTTATGATTTAATCATAACAAAACAAAAAAATGACTATCAATCCACAATTTAACTATGATAATATTTTTTGAAGTTCTATTTAGTCATAATTTAACGGTAAAGACGACCCTCACAGGAGTTATCTGAGTCATTTCACTATATGATGTATTTTTGTAATCTGGACGGTAGTATTATTTTATGGCTTGTAACAGATTAACGACCGTGTTGATTGTGTTGTGATTTCAACAGCATTGGAAGCCTTGGAGTACACAATTCACACGCATGTGTCTCAAACCTAACCGTTCGAAATTCGATCATAAAAGAATCGGATAACGGACTAAGAATCAAAACATGGCAAGGAGGAACAGGATCAGTGACAGGTTTAACATTTGACAACATACAAATGGAGAATGTGAGAAACTGCATCAACATAGACCAATTCTACTGCTTATCGAAAGAGTGTATGAACCAAACATCGGCTATTTACGTAAACAATGTGTCCTACAGAAAAATAAAGGGAACTTATGATGTTAGAACACCTCCTATACATTTTGCTTGTAGTGACACTGTTGCTTGCACAAACATAACTCTCTCTGAGATTGAGCTTTTGCCGTATGAAGGTGAATTGGTAGAAGACCCTTTTTGTTGGAACGCGTATGGAAGACAAGAGACTTTGACTATACCTCCACTGGATTGTTTGAGGGAAGGCGAACCTGAAACTGTTGTGGAGCTCTCTGATTATGAATGCAGTGGTTAAGATGTTATGGAGGATATATCATATCATATCATATAAACATTATAGTACATGTATATAGAGACATTTGATTTGGTTTATTGTGTTTCTGGTTTTGTGTTGTGTATGTAACTTAGGATTTGTCACTATTTGAGGTATGAGATATAGAATTTAAGTCTAGTTTTTGGGACTTATATTGTAATAGGCTTCAGGATCAGTTGATTATGAAATAGGAGATATGGTTTCAGGTTCAATGGTAGTGGATGAATTGAAATCAGTTTATGTAGGTTGTGCAGAACCAGAATGATGATTCCATGTATGCAGGGATGAATGCACATAACCAAGTTTGTAAGGTGAAAATATTTTATGAAAAGTTACTTGTTTGGATAGAAAGGTTTCTTTACAATTCAAATCAAATAAATCATATGTGTTTCCTAGATGGAGGCATGAGTTTATGAGTTTAGTCTCTTAGACATGATATTGTTTTAGAATTTGGGTTGAAGACTTAGAGGATTGTTTCTATGTATAAATATATGTGGAAATTATATATTGTTTGAGGTGAAACTTTTTAAACATTTTCTAACACTCAATACTATTGGTCTAGATGTGTAATATAAATTGTGGATGATTTGATAGTGTAAATTTGATTGTAGATGACAAACTGAATTTTAATCGAGGTTTTCAGACTATCTTAAAATTTGAATTAAGCATAACTTGTCTTACAAAATTGGTTTATATAGTGAAAATTATCCAATAATAAACATATATTCAGACTATGTATTAGATTTATTTGCACGAGATCCATAAGATTTAAATTTATATCTATTTAAACAAGTTAATTATAATATTTAAATTACAATTTTGAAATATATTAAAATAACTTTTTACAAGGTGCCACGAGTTCCTAATTTTGGGGTTTTGTTTTTCTTAAGTATCTTATTGTTTGTCATTATAGTTTATTTTTATTACTATAAATAACACTTTTTATGACGAAGTTTTCATCTCAAAATACTAAAAATCGAGAATATAGTTCCTGGTATTATCATTCTAACAATCTTTTATCTCGGTTATCTATAAACAGAGAGAATATATTTATATGGAGCGCTATTTTATTTTTAATATAACCTATTACCGCGATCTTTTGAAAAAACTGATGCAATATAAATATTAGGGACACTTCGAATCCCTATTACTTGATTTTTTATGTTTTTTTCAATGGTTTAATTAGTATTTCTCACTTGTCGCCTTTCCAGATTTCATTTTTTCTTTGTTAAATTTTATTCATCATTTTTTTCTATGTTAATTAATAAAACTCAAAATCTTTGTTATCAATAAAAAAAGATTACGCAATAATACACATGAAAAGGAAAGGAAAATTTTTATTGATAATCAAAGAAGCAGGACAACTGATAACAAAAAAACAGGACAACTGATAATTATTCGACATATTCAAACTTCTTACTCCACTCAACTTCAACAGTTAATCCTGCTCTTTTTATCCTTTTAACTATCCGTAACTGAGAGAAAAGTTTAGAAGCAACCCTTTTATATGTGTCACAGTAAGAATCGGAGACCATAAGTTAGCTAGGCTTCACAAACCATAATTCACCATCGATTTTTAATTTATCTAAGAGAAGGAAAAAATAATGAATAAACCCATAAGCATGCAATGCAAAAACAAAGCAAAAGATAATCTAAAGTTCGGGGGTTAGTTATATCTAGAGAATGTGCTAGCATCCTAAGTATCTATAGTACTCTACAAGAATCTCTTGTCTTATTGTGTTATTTGTTAAGTTGTCTTCTAAAGGTGAAAAGAAAAAAAGGAGACCTAAGGTGTTACTCTTAAGTATGCTCGCCAAGACATTGCATCTCGTGCCTATGTATCTTAACTAGGATGTAATTAGAGCATTTGTAGTTCACCTCACTACGGGTGAAAACAAAGCTTGTTGATTGGTTTTAAGAGAAGAGACAAGTTGTCATCTTAAGGAAAATACTCAACTTAAACCACCACAAACATGTGGAAGATGGACCTTTGCTTCACATTAAGAGAAGAGCTCTAACTCGAATATAGAATAAAGGAGTATGCCACATACCTCTCTCAAGTGGAAAAGAAATCAACATCTTTCTTTACTATGTCATGGGATAGGAGAATTACATCTCAATTAAGGATGACTCATATATAATTCTCTCATGGGAGAAAGAGAACCTAATTGTAGGTTATCTAAAGTTGAAACAATCATAAGGGGAATTAGCCTAAGGATACAGACTAAGTGTGTTAGTCTAAGGGGAATAATCTAAGTACATACATCCTAAGGTAATCAACCTAAAGGGAAATATGGATCAAGCTAAGAGGTAAAAATAATAAAAGGGAAATTCAAAAGAGATGCAAATCACATGACAGTGTAGTCAACCAAAAGTCATTCCCTTGGACTCACAATAGAGGCAACCATAATATTAGAGGAATATAAATGGTGGACATAAAATTCCAAAGGCAAAAGATCAATGATAGGATATCAACATGTAAAACAAGACATCACATCATGGATCAAGAATGCATCATGCCAAGTATAAATGAAAACCGAGAATGCATAAGCACATAAGGATAGGGAACCTTAAACATACATCAAAAGTCAAAGCATCTAAATAAAAGGGACAAAGATGAAATGAGAACCAAGAAGGTCAGTAGCTACATCATATCATTTTCAACTCATATGTTAGATTAGAAGAGGAGAAAAAAAACACAAGACATATGTCATACCCCAAATTTTACCTCCTTAGATGTCAACATCTTTTTCATGAGCATTATAGGTCAATCATCTTTACATACCTAACCAAACTATCATGCTTTGTGGTTTATTTCTTTTTTGGAATTAGGGTTTTGTACAAGGAGAAGAAAGCTCTGATTAATCAAGATTTGAAGAAGAGATTAACCAAACAATCCCTAATACACTTCAAGGGTTTCTAAGATACCTTTTATATCAATACAACTCATTTCAAGGACTCCCTAAGTAAATGGGAGAGGTTTTGAATTCATCTGATAAAAAAGTCAACCGAGGGTCTAAAAAGCCAACCTTTATGTTTTTTGGTCAACTATGAGCATTTCAAGTCATATCACATGATCTCATGTGGTTATATCAAGAAAAATCAAGTTGGAACAATAAAATCAGGAGATTTAAAGAATTAGGGTTTTATGTGAAAATTTCTAAGTTACAAATTCAATATTTTGGAGTGATTTTCAAAGCCAAATTCAAGAATGTTCCAAGCATAATTTGCTTTAGCCATCAATATGAACATTGTAAATCATCTTCTCAGCTTTCTTTTAATACCAATAACAGCTCAAAAGCATACTTAGAACTCAAGTTATGATGTTTCAAAGTTGAGGTCAAAAGTTGTCAAGACCTAGGGCAACATTTTTGCACCAACTTCAAGCCAAGACTTCATGGGTTTCTTGACCTCAAATAAAAATTATTCAAACAAGAAATTTATTCTTTATTCTTCAAGCTTTCCAAGTATATAAAGAGCTCTTCAATTAGATCAAGGAGTCAAAAGTTATGGTGTTTCAAAGTTGGAGGTTTTTAGGCACAAGTTAGGCAACTTGCCCAAGTGGCCAAGGCACCACAAGTCATGTTTTTGCTCAACTTGCAAGCTATCTTTTTCATGTTTCCAAGCTTCAAATAAAAATTATTCAAACATGAAAGTTATTCTCCTTCATATCAGCTTATCAAGCATGTGTAAAACTCTTCCATTTGAGCTCTATAGCAAAAGTTATGGTGTGATGAACATAAGTGTCAAGTCTTGAAACAATTTTCCCAAGGCATGACTAGGTCACCAGCTTAGGCCAGCAAGTTTGGATTAGATTTCATGCTCACTTGTTATTATGTTTCAAGCTTCAAATCAAGAGGTTTCAGACATGAAAGTTATTTACCTCCATGCCCTGTTTCTAAAGAACTTAAAACCTTATCAACTGAGCCAAGAACCATGGAGCTAGAGTGCACCAAAGTCACTACCATGGACATGTTTATAACCAAGACAAGGATGCCAAACCATGACCAAATTTTCAAGCCAAACCTACCAATCTTTTTTCAACATCCAAGACTAATTTTCATATCCCCAAAACCTGTCAAAGGTGATCTCTAAACATTCTATTTTTGGTTCTTTTGAATTGTGACATTTAGGGTATGTTTTGATACAAACTATGGACCAATATGTAAACCACTTCATATGCCATGACACCTTGGTTTTTTCTCATCTTCTTTCTGGCCTATACTTGAGCACAAGCAGCCCAATCACTTGGCTTAAGACCTGAAATGTAGCTATGCGTGTGAACATCACCATTGAGACCTCCTTTCTTGATTTCTTGGACAAAAGAAATGACCAAGAATTTTTCAACTTAAAAGGACTTTTGGCTACCCATATTCATAAGAAACACACACGCAAGAGACATACAAGAGATACATAAGAGACATACAAGAGATACACAAGAGAGAGCATGAGGGAAGCATATCACCACCACACTTTTGACTCAAGAGTTGAGGTCTTCGAATCCATTTATTTTGGAACTTTCTCTGGTTTCTTTTGGTTCCATCATAAAGACAAGGAAGCTTTTGGAAGTGTTGGAACCTTTCTCTCAATCATCTAACAGTGTGCAAAGCTCCATTTTTGGTAAACTCATCTTCATCATTTTCTTTTACTTTTGCGTGCAAGTATACCATTTGGATGCATTTTTATTTGTTAGAACCTATGAGGATTGTTTCTGGGTTATAGTTGTGTTGTTTCTTAAGGTTACAATTTTGTGCCCTATTTTTTATGGTCTATTTTCTTAGGGTCAGGGGCCTCTAATGGAAAAAATAAGGGTAAAAACGAGACCAGCGTGAAAAATCCTTCAATTTAGTATAAGGTTTGATCTGTTTTGGTGGAGGTTAACCTCTGCAACTTTGGTGACTCATCGGAGAGGACGACCAGAGCTAGGGCTCCGGCGTCCTATGTGTTTTCTTGTTTGACTCACTCTGACCAGCTATGTCATC